ACTACACTGAAGAGGAAGAAGACCCTGAAGAGATTGACAACAATGAAGACGAAGCAGATTCGAGGGCGAATCTTTCTCTAGCAGGGGAGGATGATGCACCTAGGAGACCGGCGGACCCGTTATGCGACTGGACGAACCGGCGGGTTTGAAGTCAACGATGTCGGATTGAGCTCAAATTTGGTCGGCTGAAGCGAAACGGCGTGCTGATCAATACTTGTAGCCATTGGCTACAAATAACGATGGATTTTCGCGATTCGGGGTCGTTTAGATGGGTTTTTCTATTTTTTTAGTATTTTTTATGGGTTAATTTAGTAAAGGGCAGTTTCGTAATTTTACGTTTTGATGTTTACTAATCCTAGTAGGGTTAGGTTTGAGGATATATAAACTTGTTTTAGGGTTTCGTTTTATCAGACTTGGATATTTTTGATTTGATAATCATATTTGGAGGATGAATTGTTCTTCTGTCGAATTTTCTTGTTCAGTCAAATTTTCTATCGCGCTTCGGCATCAGTATTGTCAATGACATCACAGGCAATGCATCTTCTGCAGAAAACGTTCGAAATTGTCTTAAAACCATGGTTCAACCATTGAACCACCATTCAAACCGAGAAACTTAAGCTGGAAAAATATCGCAGAGTATAAATAGCACCACGTTCAGAACGAGAAAAAAAAAATTTGTCACCAACCAATAGTTGTTCAAAGCTCAGATTATTCACCTCATAGCATGTAGTCCACCAACTTCCCCATCCTGTTCTCATTCCTAGGATTCCTATACTGCCCTCTAAGCACATGATCACTAGAGAACTTGTAGAAAGTGCTCGTCCTTCTCCGAGACGGACTCCTCGGAACCAATTCGCTCTCCGGAGACGCAGCACTCTTGCTCGCACCGGCATCGCAGACCGCCTCGAATATCATGGATCTTGCTTCCCACGAGGCATTGGTGACAGGGGAGAAGTACACGCCGGGCCACAAGCTGATCGGCTTCCGAATCGACGATCCGGCATCGATGGGCGGAGAACTCTCGTAGGGCGGAGCAGCGGTGGAGGCCACCGGAATTGCATTCGCCGTCGAAGCGGAGGCTCTGTCGTTCGTGGTGGTGGAGAATCGGGCGATGCGAGTCCACGGCTCGAAAGGAGGAAGCTTTGAGAGGAGACGGTTTGAGGGACGTTTGACTATCAATATGATGTACGGAGATTACGATTGACAAAGAAGTAAAAATTATTATTTAAGAAATATTTTGATTAATCATATATAACTTATAGTAAAAAAAGATCAATAAATTTTGTTTTCTTAATTCTCTTAAACAAACCAGCTTGTGCGACGTTAATTTAAGAAAAGTTATATATAGAGATTGAATGCATGTCGTAATGATAATGTTCGTATTAATAATCATTACTGAGGAAAACAAAAGGTTGAAAAGGGAAATTAAAGAAATAAGAAAGGAAAATAGCAATTAAAGTGAACTTTTTAACATTCTCAAAATCAAACTAGAAAAAGAAAACCGTTGAAAATCTACATAATTGGACATGAATCTTTAATTCCTCTTCATCATTATCACTGTCCATTCTTTGATTTTCTTCACCTAAAGGATCACCATCCATTATTCCAAGAAATAACTTAAATCAAGTGTAAGAGAACAAATTTCAGAAATGCAGGATGATAGATTGACCACCTAATTTGTCATAGAGGATGTCACCTCTAATCTTTTGGTTCTTTCAGTGGATCCATATTGGTGTCCCCTCTGTAAGTTCACCCGGATAGCTGGACTCTTTAGTGCATCGTTCGTTCTAAGTTTTGCAATCAATTTTGTTAGTTCATGAGCCTTTTCTGTGTGTAAATTAGTTGGCAATTTTTGGTTTCTTTTCCGCTTGATTGAATTACGATTATCGATCTTCCTATTTTAGGTAGAGGAAGCACCGGATGAGGATTAGGAGGATGAGAGGAGGAGGAGAGAGGCTCGGCCACCATGAAAATACCTGCGGATTTCCTGAAATCTATTTGCAGGAGACCGGTTGTCGTCAAGCTGAATTCTGGTGTCGATTGTCGAGGTACTTCTCTCAACATGGTCTCTCTGTGTTAGGAGAAATCTTCAACAAAATTTCGATTTAGCTCGATAATGCTGAGTTTCCGAATATTTCCCATCCTCATTTTTTAGTATTTTACTGAATCCTATGTGCGGTTAACTACTTGTCTCAAACTTTAATTAGTCGGGGATGATCTATGGGTTGAGATCTCGGCAGCCCATTTGCTCACCTCAAACTTCAAAAAGAATTTCAAACTTCATGATCTTTGATGATAAATTAGTGAAGCCATATGAAATTAAGATTCTGTTGCTTGAAAGCCATTCGATATATTCCGATAGCCTTATCACGAAAAATAAGAGGATTATAGGTAAATACCCTTTAGGGTTAATACCACGAAAAACCCTAAACTGGTATATTTGTGACAATTTTACCTCAAACTATTTTTTTGATCACAAAAAACTCCAAACTGGTACACCTGTGACAAATTTACCCCGAACTATTTTTTTTACCACCAAAAACCCCAAACTGGTATACATGTGACAATTTTACCCCGAACTAATTTTTTAATATTATTTTTTATTTTTTCTTTACTTTTTTTTTGCTTCATCTTCAACCTCTGGCTGGTCGCCGGTCCGGTAATCGGCCAGAGGCGGAAGCCGGCGAGATTGGCCCCGCCGGCCGTTGGTGAGGCTTGACCTCGCCCTACAACGGTGAGGTCAAGCCTTGCCAGATCTGGCGAGGCCGACCTCGCCGTTGCAGGGCGAGGCCGACCTCGCCCAACGCCGGCGAGGCCGGACCCTTGCCAACGACCGGCGGGGCCGACCTTGCCAGCTTCCGTCTCTGGCCGGTCGCCGGACCGGCGATCGGCTAGAGGTTGAAGATGAAGGAAAAAAAAAGTTAAGAAAAAATAAAAAAAATTAATTAAAAAAAATTCAAAAAATAAAAAATAATATTAAAAAATTAGTTCAGGATAAAATTGTCACATGTGTACCAGTTTGAGGTTTTTTATGGTCAAAAAAATAGTTCGAGGTAAATTTGTCACAGACGTACCAGTTTGGGGTTTTTTGTGGTCAAAAAAATAGTTCGAGGTAAAATTGTCACAAATATACCAGTTTAAGATTTTTCGTGGTATTAACCCTACCCTTTATATGGGCTTCGTGCCATCATTTTCTCAATTGCACTTTCTCGATGTACAATTTGCAGTAAATCCTAACAGAGAAAAAGCCGGTGCCTGCGCGCCTTTGACCGAGCTTTTTCTTGTCTCCTTCTGGTAAATTTGTAAGCCTTAGTGCTTGTGCTGTCTGAATTTGTGTGTTATTTTTATATGTTCTGATGGGTTGGAGTTTTTTGCAGATATTCTAGCCTGCCTGGATGGATATATGAACATAGCAATGGTACACACAGACGAGTATGTCAATGGGAAGCTGACAAACAAGTATGGCGATGCTTTTATTTGAGGAAATAATGGTCATGATGTATTCAGAATTTCTGATTTTTATGTCATATCTTGGCTGGCTTGGACCGTTCCTAACTGGTATGACTTATTGCAGTTATGTACATCAGCACTTCGAAGCGGACTCTGGCAGATGGGGCTTAGGTGTTGATAGTGCTATGTAATGTAGCATTCTGGATAAGTGAACATATCCCAAATTAGAGAGCTGATTTGTGATTCTTACATAATATTGCATTTCATGAAATCGGTCTGTGAATTGCTTGACGATGACTTGGAATGCCATAGATTTTTCTATTTGTCATCATATGTATCTGGCTCTCTGTTTTTGTTTAGCGAATTGGCTTAATGGTGTCCTGCTTATGAAGAAGGCGAATTGCGTTTAAGCATCAACTTTGGATGCCATCTATCTATGTCTGTATAATTGACTCTATTGCAAAAGCTCATGGGTATAATTGAAATCATGTCTGTCATAATATACGAAGTCATATTTTGCGCTCTCAACCAAGAAGAGTCGGAGACCAATCGAGTAAAATTACACCAACTAAAAATTTATGATCTCGCATGAAAATATAGGTCCTTTGTATGTAAGAAATAGCTATTTCATTTCAAATGTATTTCTTCCAAAGCAATTATTCGGTACAAAATTTTAGGAGGAATAGCTAGTTAATTGGCTTCTTTACGAGAATGACAATGGCAGTTTAGTTCGTCTAGGGTGTCAATGGGTCGGGCTTTCATGATACTCGACCCAAAACCTACAAGGTCACGCTTGACCCATCCCGAGACCCTATTCAGCATATACCTCAAGAGACGGGTCGGGTCGGGTCGGGATCGGGTTGTGTGTGTGTGTGTGTTTTTTTTTTTTTTGGGTGTCAAACTCAAAAACAACTGACATTGTCAAGAATCATTGCCCCTCTAAAGTAACATTACCATCCTCGTTGTGTCCATACTAAGAATAGAACACGATATGAGAATTGACAACGAAAATGCGCTATGAGGAAATTATTAGGTGCCCTTAAAACTGTTAATGCACAAACACAAAGCAAGGACTCCAGCATACCATAAGTTTCTCACGAGAACAACACAATCTAGTTAAATAAATTAAGCAACTTGATGGAACAAGTGTTCTAATTCAATCAAACAACTAATAAAAAACACATAAATTTCCTCCTACAATGGGATTTTGCAACAAGACATTGGATCAACATCTAAATTCACTTTGTACGTGGGCATATATCTTGGACAATCAGCTGAGCCAATATTAAGAGCAGCACAAGGATTATTTACAATGGATTTCCTTGATGTTGCTTGGAGACTTCTTCTCAGCCCCATAAGATAGACAGAATCCCCCAAATGCAGCGCAGGGTCTGCAGAACACAACAAGACCTGCTCCTTAAGTTGCAATAAAGTTACTAAAAGAACTGACAAACACAAAAATCCACGGCTCCACACACAGAGAGACAAAGTAAGAGCCAATATTATAATAGAACCAAGTTCTATTGAACTCACAGAGCATTCCTCCATCATCAATGATTTTCATCATCTTCAACATCAATGATTTCATCATCTTCACCTCCATTCTGCAACAGAACAAATAGCATAATAAGTTTGTCTACCCTATGAAATATATTCAGGCAGAGACAAAGTAAGAGTCCATCAAATCACCATAGCATCATCGCCATCAGATTCTGAATCATCTTCACCTCCATTCTGCAACAGAACAAATAGCATAATAAGTTTGTCTACCCTATGAAATATATTCAGGCAGAGACAAAGTAAGAGTCCATCAAATCACCATAGCATCATTGCCATCAGATCCTGAATCAGCTGCCAAAAAAAAACAGACAGAATTCAGATGAGTGAATTATCCACTGAATAATCAAAACTTTTTATGGATGCAACATGCAATATTATTTAACTCTTGAGTAATAGGACCCTAAAGGCCCGAAAGTAAGTAATATCAAGTCTAGCTCCTGTAGTATGGAGTAATGCCATTCTAGATGATACAAGCATTTACATGGACCCGAGTCATCCATATTCTTAATCTCATAGAAGATATACTTCAGGAGGAAAGACCAATATTATTCAGTTAAGCACAAGGCTTTCTAAGTCATTTACATGTGCCAGAAAGCAGTGATATAAGCCTTTATACAAGGAAAGAATTCAAAACATCAAGAAAGATAATTACACTGCGCAAGCCATGTTTAAGCATATATTGCGGTCAAAGGGATGTGAAGAACTCCAATTCAAAACAACGAGACAAACTATGAGCATTCAACCTGGCAATTACATTGTTAAAAAAAAAAAACCTGCCTATTGCATTCAATTAGGTCCATGAACTTTAAGAATTTTCAAAAAGCTTACTAAACTCTGAAAGTGTTTACAACTTGGTCACTGAATTGGATAAAAGCTCTTGTTGCAGTACTATAGAATAGAGCCAAGAGGATTTTTATTATTGAAAACTTTTTTGTAGGACAATAAAAGATGCATGACCTAATCATTACCAATTAGTGAGGCGCACGCTATTTATGTTCTGGAGGATAGCTGCAACACACCTTCTGCACTTTGTGAAAGGACTTATCCTTGAGGATGGTGTCTACACGCCTCATACGTTCTTCTTTTCTACATTTCTATTTGCTATTCTCAAAATATTCACAAAGATACTACCACAGTGTCTCAGCCAATTAGTGAACATATGCTAGAATAACCTGCGAGACAGAAAATGGTCTTATCCCTTTTATATCCATATTAAGTTTGAATGAGGACATCACTATGATATCAACACACCGTTAAACCATCTGTCCAATTTCAGGAACTGAACCCAAGAGGCATTACTACAGCTCATGCAGAGTTAGTTTCAATTCAATCTGTTCCACCCGAAGAAGACTAACGCTCAATCCCAAAATATCCTAAACTTTAGGATGGGGCCGGCGCGGGAATTTTTGAGGTATAAATTGCTTGACGATGGAGGATGCTCTTACACATTTGAGTCTTTAGATATTAGAACGAAATTCAATATTCCTGAATAAACAGCCCTTCTATGAAAAATTACTATCCCTTGTGTAAATTTACAATCTGTCATTTTCCTTAAGAAGCCCGGTTCAATATATTCTTTTTTATTTATTTATAGAATTATCAGTATGAAACCGATTATTTACTGTTAGTACAGGTGGACACAGGCAAGCCTAACTACGAGGAACGAAAACACATCAATTCTCAGCATAAGTCATGAAGATACAGAAACACGTATATTCTATTCATAAAAACACCAGTAGAAATGACGTGAGGATGGTAAGTAAGACAGGTGATGTGGATGAAATTACTCACCCCAGGGCTCATAATACATGCCCCATCCAGTTTTGTGGAGACAGCCGAAATGAGCCATCAACAGCCAAACAAAGGCAAGAAGCTCTCCACCTCTGCTCAGCACCTGCACGTGCGCCTCTCCCTTAATATGACTCGCTGCATATGACAGCATCTCAACCCACACTCCGCTCATCACCTCCCACTTCCTTTCCCGGAGCCTTTCCATCTCTCGGGCCAAACGTAACCCTCCCTTGAGCGGGGATCTCCAACGGCGGGAATCACCCTCATGCGGTTGTTCGATAGGAACCTTAAACAATTTGTCGCATAGCTCATTCATATCCGTTCTCTTTTTGATCAAATTTTGGAGTCTCCGAAGCTCGCTGAATATCTCCACTGATTTCATTTGGGCAATGCCTGCCACTGCCACAGCGGACACTAAATTTGGCTGCTTCAGTAAAAGATACAACATGTAATCGGAAAGGATCTTGCTGAATTTCCTTTCGTCATTTTTTGGGGTGACTTTCTCTTTGTGGTACCAGATTTCAGTAGCAATATGCCACGCTATAATATTGTCATTGTAATAAGTATTGGTGACATATTTTAAAAGATTTCTGCAATCGAAATCCCCCGGTGCACTCTTGAGAAATAAATCACCTCTAGCGTTAAATATCTTCCTCACTTTTGCCGGATCATTCGCGAATTCGGATTTACGTTTCACCTCCCCAAAGATGAAAATCCATAGTTCCTTAATAAAGGGCTTCCTTGAAGCTCTCGGATAAAAGGTGTCCCGATGCCGATTGCGATTATACTTCTTTCTTAGACTATACTTCAAACTCTCGGATAAAAGGTTGCAAGCAAAGATAGATTCGGACCATCTCCGAAACACAAGCGGTGTATTTAAGACCTCGTAAGGCACATTGGCATTAGGATCTACTTCACATGTGATGAATCGGGGCCTCCTCAGGCCATCCGTGGCGGATACCAACTTGTGAAGTAATGAACCTAGTTTAGGTGATCTTATGTTGTGACACATGATTTCAACGACAGTCCAATCGGAGAAAACGAGCTCGAACAGAGCTATGACATCAATAGCAATCCCCCCGATAAGAAGGCAATAAGTAATTTCCACATCGAGTACGGGAAACCGATGCTTCTTCAAGCGACTGAAGAGGACGAAAGCCATCACAACGTTAGTGAAGGCTATGAAGCGGAAAAAGTAGCTCCACTTGGAACGTGTTACCAATACTTTGGTGTGGAGCAACTCGTAAAAGAATTGAAGTTCAACCGATATCACCCTTAATGCATTGACTGCAGAAACTTTGTGGAAATAATCGCGGCTATCATTGCGATGTTGAGATGAGAACATGAGATCTGGAAGGAAGACCTTAAAGATTTGAAAGAAGCAGTGAGCATGCTTCACCACAATGCTCTCAGGAAGCTCGTCATCAGAAAATTCATCTTTTAGCGTTTTAAGAACTGACTTGTTTTCTTTGGAATTAGAATTCTTGTGCCGTAAGAGTATCGATTTCCTGAGCCTTTGGAGACTTGAGAGATAAAGTGCCAGTACCCTCTCAGCGATTTTTATGACCCCGGCAAAAAACACCAATAGTGTTGGGATCAGCAGCGACTTGTCGCTCGGAAATGTCTTCACAAAGATATAGATGGTGGTACCGGCTTGATTGACAAGACTGAGCAAGTTTTGTCCCCAACGTGAATCATTCAAAGTGAGGATAATGATGGTGCCAGGAGTGCCAAGATGTAACCAGAGAAATGAGGTCCAAAATACCTGAAGTGCGCTGTCTACTTTAGTTACATGAGCGAACGGATGGCCTCCGTCGGAAGAGATGAGCCTGACTGTGAGCACAACTATCCAGTCACCCATCAAATTGGCCAACCACAAGAGGAAGGTGAGGCGCGAATTCTTTGTTTTCCTTCTGAGGGGTGCAAATAGATGCAAAAAGATATGAAGTGAGAGGCTCAGTATCATGAAACCTCGGATGTTCCATTTGTTCCATAAATCCTTAATGAAGCTCAATGCCATGTTTTCACTTAGTTTGAAGGGTATGGCTCCTCTCTAATATAAAGACAAATGGTTAGGCGGTGGGGGTGGGTGATGTTGGGGAGGTTCGATGCTCGGGACTATATACGGGGACTACGGGGGATGAAGCAGCACGTGCAGAGAGCACTGGCCTTGTTCTGCCTGTGCTTCGGTGAGTGGTGTGAGTAAGTGACACTTTATTAAGATTTTCTTTTTTCTTTTTCTTTCGTGTAGCGCTTGTCGTTTTCTTTTTCCCTTCCCCTAGATTGGACAATATGAACATAATCCTATCGTCATGAGAAGAAGATAGAGTTAATTTAAAAAAAAAAAAAGCACCAACTTTAGATCGAGGGACAATTCTGGTCCAAACTTTTTTGTTTCATAAAAAAGCACCAATTTTAGGTCGAGGGACAATTCTGGCTCGAACTTTTTTTTGTCCCATACAAAAGCATCAACTTTAGGTCGAGGGACAATTCTGGCCCGAATTCTTTTTTGTCTCGTAAAAAAGCACAAACTTTCATATAAATCCCAAATTTGGCCCCCCATTGACTTTCCGTCTGAAGTTACCCTTGTTTGAGAAAAAAAGTTATGGTGGTGAACTTGGCGAATCTCTTCCATGGCGTCTGTCGACGGGCGGTGGTCTATAGCTTCATATTACGACAAAACGATGAAGTTTGGCTAGAAAGATTCAATCTGAAGATATTTTTGACTTGCCGGTGAAGTGAAGGAGACAATAGTTTCACCGTTATTCTTCAAGCTGTGGTTCAGAGAATAAGATAATGAATAATGCTTTAAATGCAGTCAACAAGTCACGTGGATTTATTGCTAAGGTGAAATAGTTAAGTTGGAAAATCAATGGTTTTAAGTCAATAAGGGCCAGATTTGGGATTTAAGTGAAAGTTGGTGCTTTTTTACGAGACAAAAAAAAAGTTCGGGCCAAAATTGTCCCTCGACCTAAAGTTGGTGCTTTTTTACGTGATAAAAAAAAGTTCATGCCATAATTGTCCCACGACCTAAAGTTGATGTTTTTTTTATGGAACAAAAAAAAGTTCGGACCAAAATTGTCCCTCGACCTAAAGTTGGTGCTTTTTTTTTTAAATTAACCCGAAGAAGATATTTGCATGTTATTTTTTGTTGACCGAAGCTTGACTTTTAAACATGTACGCAGACGGACATTTGAAGCCGTGTAAACTCCATCGTATATTTTAAGAAAAAAATCAAAAGGTATATTCTGAAGGGACAGCTTAATCTTATTTATAGCGGCAAAATCAAATACTAAACATCTCAAATCCTTTCTTAAAAAAGTTCATCTTAACATTTAAAACTAGTTACGAGAATGTCTATCTTAAATAGTTAATTTTGAGTCCATGTATAACCTCTTAATACCACAATTCTAATTAAGACGCGAGCCAAAGCATAAATGTTTTAAAGCCAAAGCTTCAGAAAGATCTTCTACGAGAGGCTTAGTACAAGGAAGCCTCAAATGTTCTATCTGTTCCACATAACCAAAATTGATCGCCATGTTATTGTTTAGTTTGAATTTTGTCGCTCCTCTCTAATATAACATCAGTTACAACAAGATATATAGGATGGATAGTGGGAAATATATATACATGTTATGATAGTTCCTTATTTGTTTGTCAGCAAACGGTATCTATTTAAAAAGCTAATAAGGTAAAAAAAATAGTGAAAAAATCATTTCACAAATGAACGCAAGCAATGTATCTCATGCATTAAATGACAGAAGAAAAGTATCCCATGCATAGATAATGCCAAATACTTTGTGTCGGTTTGATGTTTATCTTTGCATTGGTTCTATCTCCATTCAACTTGCAAATCCATATGTAACTATCTGTGTTTCAAACTATGAAATTTTGGTATATATGATGAGCTTAGTGAAATGTTTGGCGATACCACAAATAACAAGACATTTGATATTATTGATAAGTAAGGGCACGTTTAGTAATATTTCTGTTTCTGGGAATAATTTTTTTTCAGAAATAAATTTTTTTTATTTATATTTCCTGGATGAGTTTTTGAATAAAAGAAAGCGTTCGGTAACTGCACAAAATTTCTATTCCTGAAATAGAAAAAGAACAAAAATGTATTTGGTACAATCAAAAAAATTTCTATTTCTAATTTTTTTTCATTCAAGTCTATGTCTTTTATTTAACTATAAGTACAAATTATAAGTAAAAAAAACCAACAAGCATTATTTATTGGTTTGTTTAATCTTTTTAACTCACACTACTTTATATATATATATATATATATATATATAGCATGCTCTTCACGGATAAATTTAATTTTCTTAATCTTTTTAATTTTCTTAAACTCTATGGCCACAAACCTCCCCAGCCCTCGTAAACCCTAAGCTCTAGCGAGGAGAAGGGATGATACATAAAGGCGAGTCTGCGCCCAACCAAGGCAATTTTTGTCAAGAAGTGACCGTCCGACAAAGCGCTGCTGCTACAATCCTTAAAAGATTTTGGCAGATTTTGGGGGTCGTGTTGGTGTCCTATACTTGATGCACTGCTCTGGTCTCTCCATTCAAAATTGGTTGATTGGATGTCTGTTGGTGAGTTCCTTCACATTTGTCCATTATTCTACCCACAGTAGAGAAATAAACTTATAGAATACTTAAAATTAATAGCTTATTTGATCGTACTCAAAAGGATTCACCATTTTCCTTGCAAAAATTTGAAATCAAGCAAGTGTTTTAAGCTTCGAAAAAAAATTGTGTAGTACATTATAGTATGCTTTCGTAGATTTCAAATGTCTCGTACTAAAAAATCTTAAATTTCCGGGGCCATAAGAGAATAAACTCGCAAAAAATATTAAGTCCTGTCATTTTCTTCCTCAAACCTTCATTTGAGATTTCTTTGTTCTCCTTCATACCTGTTAAAAGCAGAGATTTCTATGTTCTTCTTGTTGTTTTTTAAGTCTCTGTGAAAATAATTCTAAAATCTCTATTAGTAGCTAAGGTTACGTGTATATGAGAATTATGTTTATAGAAAACAAACCGGAAAAAATGATTATCCAAAGTGAGTACTACATGTAGATCAAGCGAATAACTACATGTATGGAACTTACTTGCAAAATTTTCTCCATCTGATATTAATTTTATGAGATCAGTATCCATATCGGCAAATTTTATTAACGCATGATGTTGAACTTTTAGTTCAAGTAACTAATCGAACCGATTGTTCAAGTATAATTGAGTGCCTTGTTTTTCTGCTTAGTTTGAATTTTGTCGCTCTTCTCTAAGATAATATCGGTTACAACAAGTTATATAGGAAGAATAGTGGGGAACATATATATACATGTTGAGATAGTTCCTTATTTGTTTGTTAGCAAACGGTATCTATTGAAAAAGCTAAGAAGGTGAAAGAATCGTGAACCAATCATTCCGCAAATTAACACAAATAAGGTATCTCATACATTAAATTGCTAAAGAAAAGTATCTCATGCATAGATGATGCCAAATGCTTTGTGTCGGGTTGAAAAGTAGAAGTGCATCAGCAGTCATTAGGCGAGACGCAAGGTATGTTTTTGAGATCTTACTCTCTCTTTTTTTTAACTTGGACCCCAAGTAATGTTCCTTTCTTTCGTCTTTTTCTTTTCACGAGGACCCACCAAAATATTCTTAACTTGTACATGATATGTGACTTGCGTTTTTTACTTCTTTTGAATTTTTTTTTTGGCTAGAGTTTGTGAGTCACGTTGGATCGACACTTACATTAACCAGGTGCAAATGAGCTCAGTTAATCTCAACCGTTGAATTACGTGAGTCCCATGTCATATCCCCATAATTCAACGGGTGGGATGCATTGATCTCATCATCAATTGTTTGATTTCATCAGTTTCTCCTAAAGAAAGATACACAGCTTCGAACTGTGGATTTTGTCCACGGCACTGATGGACCTGGCAGTCAAAACTTCCCACCACCAAAAGGAAAACCAGTAGAACAATCAGCAGCCAACTGTTCTCATTGAGCAAGCAAACCTTTATCCCGGGGAAGTTACTGGGGTTGCATTGAGCCCACTCGGTGTCTTCTCTATCACTGTCTCTATTTTCAAATTTATTTCATTTACATGTGAATCTCTTTTGCATGAGCATTTACTTCGAACCCTTCTCCATATTCAACATCATTTCCCTATAAACGTTGGGAAAATTACCAAAAAAATGTCCTAAATATATTGCACGGATTTTAATTCAAATCTAAACTTTTCTATTTGGCCAACTTATTCCTAAATCTTTTAACAATTTGCCAATGTAGTCTTTTCGGCCAATTTTAACAAGAAATCATTGCTCTAGACGCTGACCATCGTACGTGGCAGTTGGCACGACCAGAGCTAATATGAACAATTTTTACAATTTTAAAATGAATTATTTTTATATTTCTTTTCTTTTCTTTTTCACTATGGCCGGTGAAAGTGGCCAGGGCCTTGGCAATAGATAAGAAATAAAAAAAAATTGTAAAAAATTTAGAATTTTTTTTTTTAACAATCGCAAAAATTGTCCAAACCAGCACCGGCCATGCCACGTAAAATAGCCAATGCCCACGTTAATGATTTCTGGCCAAAATTAGCAGGAATGACTAACAAATCGTTAAAAGTTTTAGGATTAAATTGGTCAAATTGAAAAATGTATGATTAAATTAGCATCCGTAAAATGGGCTTGTGACTTTTTTAGTAGTTAACCCTTATGCATATGCTTTTCTATATGTGCTTGTCTACATCACTCATACATATTCGACTCGTTTATTTATCGCATCGTATCTTTAAACACCCAACATGACACTTTTATTAAACAAGTCGCACAACATGATACATTTAAGATATAAAACCTTATAAAAATATATTTAAACGAGTAATAGAGTGCCTAAATGTATATAACCAGATCACATTGGCCCAGGTAACATGTCAACTCATTTAACTAATCGTGTCTTACCCTGTTAGACTGATTGAAAAGGTCAATTAGCAAAGCACATGGCTTTTATT